ATCAATTTGTAAAAAAACCCAAACGAAAACAAGAACATTTCCATGTATGTGATATAGATAAAGATGTAATGATGTAATTAACAACAAACATACCTGTGAGATGCCCCAACAGAGGACTGGTCTCCAAGCAAGTCTACCTATCTACTGGACTAGTAGCAGTCTCCTTTCAAAAATCCTTCAAAAAATCTTAGTCATATTTCATTTTTCAACAATGATGTGTTTTTCTGACTGCATCTAAAACCTAGGGAAATATTTAGAACTTTTTGAAACAATATTTCAAAAGTTGTTAGCAGTTTGTTTCATTGTCTTAATTACCACCAAACCTCCTTTCAATTTTGTTAAATACAATAGAGACTGCTCCAGTCTACCTGGCTACCCTCCCTTGGCTACTATCCCACTTCTACCAACTACCACTGATTATAAAATAGTTTTTCTGTACAAAACAAACTGGCATCCTTGTAGCTTTATTAGATCAGACCTCTGACTGTTTGCTGAAACAGGTGTGTTAACAGGGTACTCTGTACTGTAGGTTATTAAGAGTGAGTGAGTGAGTGAGTTGGGTTTAACGCCGCTTTTAACAGTATTCCAGTTATATCACGGCATGTCAGCTTAATGTGGGAGGAAAGCCCGAAGTGATGCGAGTATCAGACGTTTGCCACTTCGGTGAAACCCCTGAGCACGGGTATGGTGCTGACAAACACAATCGGGGCGAACCGGGATTCGAACCCACAATCATAGGTTTCTGGCGTGCCCAAGGGACGCAACTCTGCACAGCGAATCACGGCGCCTTAGACGACTGGGCCCCCGTAGGTTATTACGAAATAATAATTCAAACAATATATCTCATCTAGAACACTGTCACACTTGCTAGTAAAACACAAATAAGAAAACATAGCTAGTACTATGCTGTATGTCTGGGTTAAAACGACATGGGAGGGTAGTGACTGAAGATTATCAAGCTCTCTGGGCAGTGTAACAAGCAGGATGAGACTTGCTTGTCTGAACATGATGACTTGGAAGATCGGAAAAAGAACACAATCCAGCGAGTAGAGAACATGACAACACTGGTTAGGATAAAGGTGGACAACAACATTACTGTGTATCACATATACTTCAGAGGGAAACTCTACGGCTACAAAGTGGGATAACATGCTGCTATACTTATGATGTAAAGAAAACATGTTTAGGAATGATTTTAGAGTACAAATATCTAGTAACCTCATCTACTGTACAGTTCATAAACTGCAACTGTTGCAAAAAGACCTTAGGGCTGTGACTAGTATAAGCCTATGTTAAAGTCTGGGAGTTACGACCATCTTAGCACTAAGATCACTTTATGGAATGAGGCCCTGGGTCTTGCTCCATAAAGAGGTCCCAGTGCTAGGATGGACGTAACTCACATAATTTGATACTGACTTATGATGTTCATAGCATTAGGATCGCTTTGTGGAACAAGGCTTCAACTCTTCAACCAACTAGTTTAACCATCCCCATTATTATTAACCTGTTTTCACACTTCACCAACAGACAGGCAAACCCTAGCATGAGTTAAGTAGAGCCATGCCCTGTAACAGGAGTTTCCTACTTGTCGTAACCCCAGGGGACCGTTCCACAAAGCTATCGTAGTGCTAAGGTGATCATAACCACCATACTTTAACATATACTTACGACTGTCATTGTGCTACGATCACTTTCCAGAATGGGGCCCTGGTCGATTCTGGCATTCAAAACCCACAATCATCTGATCATGGCAAACCTAGGGGATGCAACTCTCCACAGCAAATTGCATGGAGGTACATGACTGGCTCAGTCAATAACCTTACCTGTAACTGAAACTAGTTTAGTTTTCTAAGGAAATCAAACGACGAAGGCAAAGACACAAAAATTAAGTAACAGTATTGGTTTGTTGATTTTTGTAACCTGTAAGAACAAGTGAATGAGTCATAGAGTTCAGTTTCACAATTCTCCTGGATGAATGGATGAGTAGATTAGAGCAGACAATCAAATCTAAATTACCATATTCGACGTAATAGGCGCCCGGGCGCTCTCAAAGTTAGAAATAGGGGGCTCTTATTAAAATATAATTTTGGTGTGAAAAAAAACAGAGTGGAAAGATCGTAAGTTGAAATGAAACAAAAGAAAAGTCTGTGCGTATTATACAGGACAAAAAAATTAATTGCCCATAATTACGGGTGCATTAACACACGAGTGCGCATTATACATGAATAAATAAGTCTTGTGTACATTGATCAATCGGAAGGGGTACTAATTGGGATTGTTCACTTCTAATATATCAGCAAATATCGCCGTGGGCGTTTATTAGAGCGGGATGCTAATTACGTCGAATACTGCAATGTGACTGTGACTGTGACTGAAAGAAGTGATTACTCTGAGGGAAAAAAACCATGATGACATGATTTAATCACACAAAAATAATAACTATCGTATTTGCCATAAAATGCACCCTGGTTGCAGGGAAAATTGAATGGAAATTGAAAATTGTGCATATTACAACTATACACAACAAGTTAATTTGTTTTCAGGGATCAAGCCGTACTGAAGAAATGTATTTCAAACGGGGATGTATTTGATAATACCTACAAGGCAGTTATATACCCTTTCTGTGATGCTGTTGCAGATAAAGAAAATATACTGTACACAAAATAACAAGGACTGTCAGTTAAATTTTTGGCTTAAGTAGGGGGACTTAAAAAGAATACAGACACATTGGTCCAGCAGTTGGTCAGAGGTGCTTGCTGGAGCAGGATGCTCAATACTGCGAAGTAGGTTCAATTCCTTTATTTACAAGCCCAAATTGACTCAACTCAACACATCAACTTGGTGATAAAGTTAACAACAATATTTCTTGAACAATTGTTGACAATGTCTTTGTCAACTTGACTCACTTATTAAAACACATGTTCTCATTTCTTGTGGAATAATGGCAAACTGGAAATGAAGAAAATCCTTTCATACATTTGTGTTACACAATTTTTCTTGCATCATAAACAATCAAAACACAACCAATGCATAAAATAGTCCCGTAATGTCATCCTTAGACAAGCATACTGCAGACTGATCAGGAACAATTTCTACAAAGTATATATAAAGGTTACTGACACCTTAGCGGGCACTTGTCTGTTACAAATACAAAGTAGCCAAACCAACAGCAGACAGAAGTAACAGAACTTTAACATAGGTTTAAGCAAACAACACAAAAACAAGCACAACACATATATTTGGAGTGTAGATATTTCATTAAAATACAATTAATGTACAACAAGCAAGATGAAAGTAAAGCCCACAGGTGAACTACAAGATTAGCTGAGAACCTTAAGTGTCTTTGGTACAACAGAGTGTGTGATAAATTCAATATACCATCCCTGATGAATTCACCAAATACAAGTGACCCAAACTGTTGATTTAACACAATACAGTATTTACAGTCACACTGCATACACAGACAATATGAAAAAGTTATAGTAAAAAAAATCACAAGATTAAATCACGTTATTACAACCATTCTAACATTTCCAGACAAAGATCTCTCACAAGTAGAATACCTCATTACAGATGAGTGAGTAATTTGGTTGAAAGCTGCTTCCAACAGTAGTTAAGTCAAGATGCAGCATGTTGACTTGTTGTCAGGGGAAAGACTGAAGTGATGTAGGTCTCAGATGTTAACTACTTTGGCGACGCCCCCATGCATGGGTATAATGCTGGCAAACCTAAACATATTTGGGCAATTCTGTGATTCGGACCGGTGATCATAGGTTTTTGGCAGGCCTAAGGGAAGTAACTCTGTACATCAATATTCTGCACCCAAACTAATGGGACTCCAATGCCCCTACCATGTTTGTTTGTTTGTTTGTTTTTGTTTAATGCCGAAATATTCCAGCTAAATGATGGTGGTCTGTAAATAATCGAGTCTGGAGCAGACAATCCAGTGATTGACACCATGAGCAACTGGGATGCAAAGACATGCATCAACCAAGTCAGCGAGCCTTACCAGCCAATCTCATTTAGTCACCTCTTACAAGCATAGTTGCCTTTTACGGCAAGCATGGGTTGGTGCAGATCTATTCCACCTCAGATCTTCACGGGGCATGATAGATGAAATATCATTTACATTGTAATGGTAGAATGGCCACAAATTGTCACAGTGTGACACACTAGCTGCTTTAGTGTTGAGCCTTGCAAGACTCTGTGCAGGGATTATAAACATATGACTGCCAATATCCTCTGTTGGATATTGACAAAGTTCCTTTTAATTATTACTTTGTTTACTGATCCGCAATCGCCAAATTACACAAATGTGGAATGAATGAATTTTTTACGACATGCATTTTAACTCATCTGTTCACAAATTTCAGTGGTAACATAAGATTGTTAAAAGGGAAGTAACTCCTTTACTTGTCTTTCCAATAAACACTCATAACAGCACGACTCTTTAATTTCATTTATTCAAAATTCAAATCGATGGACATTACCTATATAAGATCTCTTCCTAAAGATATTTTAAAATTTATTTATATTTGTACTGATACCAAACTGAGTATAAACAAAAGAAGCCAAATTGTTATGTCAATAACATTATTTTGCATGCATTGTACCTGTTTTTACTGCTATATAAACAAGATGAAATATCTTCTTTTTTTTTAAATTAAAAGAAATTATGGTTTTACAGTTTTAGTACATATTGGTACAAAAAATATACAGTTATCTGTTTTACGAGGAACAGACATCTTGATGTATTTCTCAACACTCACATGTAACAAGACTTGAAGAGGGTATCTGCAAACACTAAGGCTGGAGATCACACACCTCTTAACCATGTGTCAATGTTAACATCTTTCAACAATTAGCCAAATCTTCAATTGTTCCTGTCCTGAGGTCGTCACAAATGTTGTATTGTAAATCACTGATACCTGTGTTTATAATCAGAAACATTATATACTTCTCAGAAGAAGTCAGAGGATGACAGATTAACGACAGTAATATGAAAGAATAGGGTATGTTTAATTTCTTTTGAGTAGTTTACCATAGGTCGTATGTGAAAGGTTATTTGAGGCAGGTCCGTGACACTCGTTAGTCCAGTTCAGAGTGTAAGGTACCCTCATTTACAAAAGACATGTACCAGAACCCGCTTCCACACAGGGTATTAACAAATCTGTGTAACCCACCAATCATAAGGAAGATGAGCCAACAGCTAATCACGTGTTGCCCAAACGAATCTAGAACAATTTTCTCCCGAACCCATTTTCTCCATTGGTACACCAAACAAAATCTTCATTTACAGCATGTAGTGTAGGAATTCATTCACAGGCTCTAGCGCAGCTAACTGAACTGCATGTAGTGTGTAGGAATTCATTCACAGGCTTTAGCGCAGCTAACTGAACTGCATGTAGTGTAGGGATTCATACACAGGCTCTAGCGCAGCTAACTGAACTGCATGTAGTGTAGGAATTCATTCACAGGCTCTAGCGCAGCTAACTGAACTGCATGTAGTGTGTAGGAATTCATTCACAGGCTCTAGCGCAGCTAACTGAACTGCATGTAGTGTAGGAATTCATTCACAGGCTCTAGCGCAGCTAACTGAACTGCATGTAGTGTAGGGATTCATTCACAGGCTCTAGCGCAGCTAACTGAACTGCATGTAGTGTAGGAATTCATTCACAGGCTCTAGCGCAGCTAACTGAACTGCATGTAGTGTGTAGGAATTCATTCACAGGCTCTAGCGCAGCTAACTGAACTGCATGTAGTGTAGGAATTCATTCACAGGCTCTAGCGCAGCTAACTGAACTGCATGTAGTGTGTAGGAATTCATTCACAGGCTCTAGCGCAGCTAACTGAACTGCATGTAGTGTAGGGATTCATTCACAGGCTCTAGCACAGCTAACTGAACTGTTCCAAAAGCACTACATTTAAAACAGCATGTCGTGATGGAATTCTTACAAAAATATGCAGCACGTTGCTGGATCTTGAAAAAGATTCGGACAACATGGCTGCTGATATGTGTCCTGTTGAGCTTTGTTGCAAATAGGACTTGTCTACTTCATTGAGGATGAGCAGTGGTGGCCAGGGTGAGAACATTTGTCCATCTTTGACGCGGATGGAGGAGGACTTCTTGTTGGACAGGGACATCTTGTGCAGGTTGAGCAATTCACAGACTTGTTTGGATTAATTCAGTCTTAACAGTGTGTTGTCCAGCACCATTTCCAAGAACTGAAAATAAGTAAGAATTTTCAACATGAGTGAATGAGTTGGATTATCAACGTGAGTGAATGAGTCAGATTATCAACATGAGTGAATGAGTTGGATTATCAACGTGAGTGAATGAGTCTGATTATCAACGTGAGTGAATGAGTCGGATTATCAACGTGAGTGAATGAGTCGGATTATCAACGTGAGTGAATGAGTCAGATTATCAACGTGAGTAAATGAGTCGGATTATCAACATGAGTGAATGAGTTGGATTATCAACATGAGTGAATGAGTCGGATTATCAACATGAGTGAATGACTCGGATTATCAACGTGAGTGAATGAGTCGGATTATCAACATGAGTGAATGAATCGGGTTATCAACATGAGTGAATGAGTCAGATTATCAACATGAGTGAATGAGTTGGATAATCAACGTGAGTGAATGAGTCGGATTATCAACATGAGTGAATGAGTCGGATTATCAACATGAGTGAATGAGTCGGATTATCAACGTGAGTGAATGAGTCGGATTATCAACATGAGTGAATGAGTCGGATTATCAACATGAGTGAATAAGTTGGATAATCAACGTGAGTGAATGAGTCGGTGACAGAGAAGGAAGTTGGGTTCTACGTGCGCAGTGGTCAAGTCAAAATGTCACGTCGCTTCAACAATACCTCAACAAGAACAAGCTACATAGTTATATAAACTACATATAGTAGAACTGTAAGGCAAATTCCACAGATTGAATATAAACAGTGGAACACACCAAACAGTACATCCAGTACATGACTGTGTGACAGCTTAGACAGGGATAGGACCAAGCACCAAGCAGGGATAGCAGGCTAGCACACACAAACTTTGTTAATGTTAAGGTAAACTAAGGGCTCGTAGAATTTCACACATTTTAGGGAGGTACGGCTATGTGATGTCACTCTGGGGAGAACTCAGGGTTGCAACTCCACACAGGGAACTGAGGTGGCTTAGACAACTGCGTCACCTGTGCCCCATTAGTTTGTTTGTTTGTTTGTTTATTTGTTGTTTAATGCCGCACTCAGCAATATTCCATGATGGCAGTCTATAAATAATCAAGTCTGGACTAGACAATCCAGTGATTGACATCATGAGCATCGATCTACGCAATTGGGATATGATGACATGCATCAACCAAGTCAGCGAGCCTGAACACCCGATGGAATATTGCTGAGTGTGTTAAACAACAAACAACACACCCAGGCAGCGTTACTGTCACAAAGTGCCCAGTGTTTGAAATAGCATTCTGTCTGTACTACAGTAGCCACAAACAACAGACAGACCAGAATAATTCATTTTATTATTATTTTGTGATATTTTCTTCATTTAAATGTCTCAATCTCCATCTGAATTTGATATGTTAGTTGTAAATTAAATTGTATTGAATATTACTTTGATAAGAGATTGTGGTATATCACCATATAACCTGAACGTGGGCTGAAAGGCCTCTATCCCAGCTGTGTGTACACTACTTGGACTACACATTACCTAAGCCTTGTCCCCCTCTGACATATGGCCTCATAACATGTGTCAGGCTATGATTGGTGAATGGGGAAACTTAAAATTCCAGTCATTCCTGCAAATATTTCCATGCTCACCAACACAACCCCTTCAAACATTCTTACAGTACATCAGGCTTCAGCTAATTATCTGTATGCCACTTGCCACTCTACCACCTGTTGTTGTCAATGTTAATCTGCTGTTTATCACAACCTATCATCATACTAGGTTGTAGTCAGTCCAGCTTGATAAGGGTGTACAAGTCTATATCGAAATGTGGTACACGCCATAAACCAGAAGTGGTAATGCATGAAGTTATACATTAACTAATAGACCCTCAAACATGCAGCCCTGCCCAAATATGTCAGACAGAATCAAGGCATGTAAGTCTGTGGCTTAATCTAACACCTAAACTGCACTATAATTAGGGCTGGCTATCAATATAGATAATAGAGATCGACAATAGCCAACGAAATATCGGTCAATTATCAATAAATACCGGAGAAGTAACTTTAAGCAATATGCAAGAAAGTCCCGAAAGAAATCAACATGTTTCACGCCACTAGTGAGCAGTGACTCATTTATGCATCGATAACTTTGTGGACATTTGAGATATTACAAAAACAGTTGCAACTCGACAATTGACATTATTGACAATAACAAGTCTGTTTCGGTAAATCTAATCTATATTTCATCACAATATCATATCAATTTCATATCGATAATCGTTAATATTTCTTTCCATTAACGATAATACTGATTATCGATCTTTTTAGCCAGCCCTAATAATAATCCGTCAAGTGCATAACTGTAAGACCAGCATAGAGCTGTGGCGCCATCTTTATGATGACTATGACCCTGACAGCAACAAGGAGGTACTTACTTCTTCGTAATTGATGTTGATAATTCCTTGCTGTTGTGTATCCTTCACTCTGAACTTATCTGTCAATGTTTTCAACATCACACACGTTTGAATGAAATCATCAAAGTTTATGCTCCGAATTCCCTTTCTGTCAAACACACGAATAACCATATCACAGAAACTTGGGGACCTGAAACAGCAAAAAAAATACATCAATAAATACTAGAAGTGTTCAACATATCTGGAATCACCTTGGGAATCAATACAATCCGACATGAAGCCGATAAACAGGCGACCATCAGCATAAGCATCGTTTGCCTCTCACTGTGATGAAGCTCATCAGTTAAACTAAACAAAAGCTCATCGCTTTTAAACCCTATTTCGACAACTAAAGACAAGTTAAAGAACACCCGATTTTTTCATCCCCCACATCTCCAGGGCTTGCATTTCGGAAAACCTACACTAAAATTACTGCCCTTGATTTTCAGTTTGGTTAAGCTACAGGAAGTTACAACAATGTCTCCAGGCTTCAAACATGTGTAAGCAGGCCTGACACATCTTCCCGAAGCAAGGGAGATAACTGACCATAAAAGTCTAGTTTCCACTCTCGCCGAACTAGGCTGGAATTCCGGAGTTACAGTTTGGCTGGACTAACGAGTCTATGCATAGTGCAATCAAAATCGCGTAACAAACTAGACATCCGGTTCGTAAACAACATGTACTTTAGCATGCGGACGTCTGTCGACTGCAGGATTTGTAAAGCATGTGTACCGTCAACTGGGCATCGACAGATATTTTGCAAATCATTCATGTTTTTGATAAAGGTGCGCAAGTGATTTGATGCACTTCACAGGGTAAGACCTGCTTTAGATAGATGTTGCTTATCAATCAGATCGTCTTCACTGGGCGCCGCCAATTTGTTTGAAGCAAATGCAAGCGACATGAGCATTGGAATCTTATTGGTCAATAGAAGGGACATAGAAGGGACACAACTCGTAATAGCCACTGGTGGTGCTACAATAGAGCCTGGAAACTCCAGCCTAGTTTGGCAAGGGTGGAAACTTGACTTTTATAATCAGTTAACGCCCTTGCCTAGGGAGATGGCCTGACAGAGAGAACTGAAGATATGCAGTAGCCACCCTTAAAGTTGACAGGGTCATGGTCACACAGGGCACTACAGCTATGTACCCCAAGTACCTCAACCATGAGGCATCCAGGTAGAGTATAGGTCCCCTGCAATCTATGCCTGAGACTAAATGGATCAGGTCATCAGGCTCATTGGCTTGGTTAGGGCGAGGATTGATGTTCATAATATCACTGCATTGTCTGGTCAGACAGACCACCATCATATCTGGACTATTGCTGAGTGCAGTGTTAAACCCCCCCAAACTTGGTCCCTTTCTGTACACTGAAAATGTGATCCTAACCAGAATTGGGATACATAAATGTACTCATGATGACATAAGGAAATACTCACAAATTATAACCAAATGTGCGGAATGCATTGCTCAACTCCTGGGCATCGATGTTTCCAGAACGGTCAGTGTCAAAGCTGAAAAGAAAGTGTTTCACAATTAGTGTAAAGAGGTCACCAGCTACTGTAGTTAGAGCAACCCTGTCACAATGGCAGTTACACGCTTCTAGGGCTGGAACCCTTCACCAGGGTATCCATGCATAGCAATGCTTTGTGTCTCAACAAGACTTTTGTCAAATGTAGTTATCTCAATCTGTGCCAAAAACTTCTAAGTCTTGTAGTCTCTTGGCATCATTTTCGTTAGATTATAAACTAACCAGATCTGTTTTTTTCGAAACTTGTGTTTGGGACAATTGGCTTTTTTTATGGTATGTGGAAGAGTTACGTCTTTCATGGTAAATATAATTGAGTCTAATTTGTCATGATTATTAGGCTTAAATATAAAAGAATTGGTTCTCAGGCAATGGCTTTTGAAAATATTTTTGTTGTTGTTGTTCAAACTAGTCAAACATTGTCAACTATCACAATGTTTATCTATCACAACATTACTGTCGAAATGTGAGATGAGACATTGTAATTTTACAGCTCTACAAACCTTCAGAATCAAAAGCCACAAAAGAGATCAGTAGTGGATACACGATGCTCATAACTCCATTGGTCGATTACATACACAACATATCATTGGTCGATCACATACACAACATGTCATTGGTCGATCACATAGACAACATATCATTGGTCGATCACATACACAACATGTCATTGGTCGATCACATAGACAACATATCATTGGTCGATCACATACACAACATATCATTGGTCGATCACATAGACAACATGTCATTGGTCGATCACATACACAACATGTCATTGGTCGATCACATACACAACATATCATTGGTCGATCACATACACAACATATCATTGGTCGATCACATACACAACATGTCATTGGTCGATCACATACACAACATATCATTGGTCGATCACATACACAACATATTATTGGTCGATCACATACACAACATGTCATTGGTCGATCACATACACAACATATCATTGGTCGATCACAGCAGTGAATTTGGGGATCACAGGTAATAACAGGAATGTACTAGATCATTATCATTCATGACAAGTTTTTTCAGAACTCAACACAACAACAAAGAATATATACCCATCAAAACAGTTCTTCCAATCTTGAATATATTTCCACAAGGCTGAAAATTCCCCCACATCGATTGTGCCACTCCTGAAACAGAAGTGAACATGTGTGTGAGTGTGGGTGTCATCCTACACGGCACATTTTGAGAGAGTTCCGCCATAGAGACATTTCAGCTGTATTTATGAAGGAGAGACGCCTGGGTGACCTGACACAGGTTGTAGGTGTGTTAAAGTCGGGACTATTCTCCACAATTCTTATCATGTTCAGTCACAGCCTAGACTTTGAAGTTGGTTCCATGACTAGAATTGTGTGATGAGGGTACATCAGGGATTCATCTAGGATTCAAAATTAAGTGCCCCTTCAAACAAATGTCATAATAATAATAAAAATTGGAATTTTTTTAAAATTCTTATATTCTTACATTCAGAGGTATTTTAACATTGTATTATGAGATGCATTCAATGTAATATTATAAAACTATGCATGTTATACCTCTTTATTGGTCCTGCTATCAGTGAAATACAGGTTTCCTCTACAAAGCCATACAATTAGTCGTTGGTTATTTCAGAAGTGGGACATTAATACACCAATTTGGGTCAGGTGAGCTAATCCAAAGTAAATCATTTCTTGTATCACTGATTCATAGACTATTGACTGCACTTCCAAGTGTAAAGTGAGGGGCTCGAGTCAGTGACCGCTCAAAACAGTATTTCAGTTCCATCCCCAAATGATCATGGCAAGACCAAAGTAATGCAAGACAAAGACGTTTATGTTATTCGTGAAACAAATGAGCACATGTATACAAACATTATCCTAATTAGGGCTAAGTCAGGATTTGAACCAACTGTTGAATGATAAAACTTATTTGTTAATACATATAACGAGACCTCGCGAGAGAAAGACTCCATTTCAAGATCTCAATGCCCAGCAAGTGCAAGAGTTCGATGTAGCTTGCTTGGGTAACTTGAGACAGGTAAGTAATGTTCAGTGTGTTGGTATATGTGACGCAACGGGGGCAGGTTGCTGGGGAATGACTGTAAGATGTAAGTCTGGTTCAGAGTGCTGCTGTGTGTGCATATTTGTTTGTCTGTTGCTTAACGCTGGACGAAGCAATAATCCAGATATATGACGGCGGTCTGTAAATAATCGAGTCTGGACCAGACAGTCCAGTGACTGACATCATGAGCATCGATGACAAGCATCAACCAATTCAGCGAACCTGACCACCCGATCCTGTTAGTCGCCTCTTACAACAAGCATAGTTGCCTTTTACGGCAAGTAAGGGGTGCTGAAGGTGTGTGCATGTACATGTCCATTATCGAATATAACCAAATAAACAACATTGACTGAAGACATCCTTGTGTCATCTCTGGGCATTATTCCAATCTAACACAAATATTAGCAGATCCTGGCATAACTCAGGGTCAGGCATGCAGTCGTGTGTGCCCCCATGCCCTGTAGTACCTGTCTTTGTCAAACATCCCTATCATGAGTCTACAGGTCTCGCTGTTGAAGGGGGACCAGTTTCCATTCATCAGTGCCTGTTGAAGTTCCTTTGAGTTGATGGTGCCCGATCGGTCCTGGTCCACTGCCTGGTGAAACAAAGTCATGTGGAATGCAGTCTACAGGGATTGTAACAAGTGCTGAAATCATCTGACATCTATCACTGGTTAGATTACAGTCTACAGGGATTGTAACAAGTGCTCAAATAATCTTACATCCATCACTGGTTAGATTACAGTCTACAGACAGGGTAACAAGTGCTGAAATCATCTTACATCCATCACTGGTTAGATTACAGGTGTCCGCCGCCATGATATTGCTGGAATATTGCTAAAAGCGGTTAAACAATCCAACTGACTGACTGACTCATTGGTTATTACATCAACATGGATAAGTGGACATATCTTTTGTTGTTGTTGTAATACCACAGCCAGCAAAAATTCCAGCAATAGCAAAGACGCTTGAAAGAAATCGAGTCCTGGTTACACAAACAAGTGATTAATATTATGAGCAACATTGCACTGTCAGGTATGGTGACCCAAATCCTGAGTACGCTGCCTAAATCAGTTTGATGCACTGCAAAGAGTGAGTGAGTATGGTTTTACGCCACTTTTAGCAATATTCCGGGGGACACCAGATATGGGCTCCACACATTGTACCCATGTGAGGAGTATGTATGTTATATTATTTCTTACATGTTTCCAGACAGGTTACACAGAACATGGGTAACACATTAAAGTTACTAATAATTACCCGATTGAATGATAAGAACAAACTTTTATTGTGGAATAATCACCTCATAAAGCTTGATACAGAACAACGTAACCTCAAATTGATTTTTAAACAACAACCTACCTGAAACCAGCTCCACATTTCCTGACTTATTCCTGGGGGTGGGGCAGGTGCCCCATATCCCCGACCATAGCCTGCTGTCTGAGGGGCTCCATAACCTTGTGGGGCCCCATACGATGGGGGAGCACCACCAGGTCTTTGTTGGTAACCTCCTCCATACTGCTGATCAAACTGCTGTTGTTGCTGTCCATATTGTTGCTGAGGGGGTTGGCCATATTGTTGCTGAGGGGGTTGACCATAAGCCTGATTGTACTGTCCAGGCTGGCTATACTGGGGACTCTGTTGAGGTTGCTGCTGGTAATATCCAGCCCCAGTGCCATAGCCTCCCTTAAAGTATATATACAGATAATGCAATATTCAATCTTCAAACAAAAATTCAACTGTTTGAAAGACATATATGCAAAAGACACTGCTCTATACTTAAAACTCATTACATAATGTCATACTGTATAATATTTGTCAGTCTGACCAAGCAAAAACAGCCTTCTATGTATCATTTGTCCTCCTGGCCATGAACATGATGAGATCTAATTTTATAAATTGACCTGACCCGTGAAATTCTGGGTAAAGAATAGGACTTCAGCAACCCATGCTTGCCATTCAGGCAACTATGCTTGTGGTAAGAGCTGACAAACGGGATGGGGTGGTTAGGCTCGTAACTTGATTGATGCATGTCATCGTATACCTATTGCTTAAATTGCATCTTCCCGAGGCAAGGGAGTTAACTGACTATAGTCCAGTTTCCACCTTTGCCGTACTCGGCTGGAATTATGGAGTTATATTTGGGCTGGACTAACGTGTCTATGCATAGTCCAATCAAAATCGTGTGATTTGATCGATTATCAAGATTTATATTGTAATAAAACGGGTCACCCCTTTTCAATCATTAGGGTTAGGTACCCGTTTAGTGGCTATTAGATTACCCGAATTCTGTCCTAAACCCTTGGATCCCCTTTACGATCAATCATCCCTTCACTATCATTAGGGTTCGGTAAATCTACCCGTTTAGTTTCTATTATAGATTCTATAGCGGCTCCTAATATTCTTCACACAAAAACATCGAGTAAAAAAAATGAAATGGTTTTGTGTCAAATACTTTGGCTACTGGAAACTGTCTTGGAACATTCACACAAGCCACTTTCACCGGCTACATTTTTTCAGTACTGATTCAAAAGCGAACTCACCGTTGTGTCGTCACTAGCCATGCACATGCCTCCCTCGTTCCTTACTATTATCCACATCATCCTTACAGTGTTCCCTACCACACTTTTCTGTCTCAAAATCCACCTGACAAATTATTAAATAACACGTCATTCATGTGTACTCGCGAGTTCGACGTCTGACGCCTGGAGCCATTTTCAGTTCGCGCCATATCGGATCATTCCTCGCCACTCGGTATCTTGTAGATTACGGAATGGGAAGAGTGTGTCAAATGGCATCGGGATCATTTGTGGTGTCGATAGACTAAAGTCACGAGACACCATGCCTACCCGTAACCTTCGTAAGGGTTCGTCACCTATTCGACCCTTTTCGTTCAGTTCTGTAACGTCGTAGACATGACTAGGTAAATTTGCAATTTGTTTCACAGTGTGGACGTAGCTCAGTCAGTTAGCTGTCGGGCTAATAATCCGAAGGTCGCGAGTTCGCGTCCGACGGATTCTCACAAAAACTGTGTGCTTGTCTTTGAGACATGTGACCTACGGCAGAGACCGTCCTCACGAGAAGTTGTGGTACTGTATTCTAAAGGTGCTCTGAACATAGCTTTTGGTCCTGGCCATTTGATGTATATATGCTGTATATAAGCTTGTATTGTTATAACGAACTATGGCTATATTGAACTAAAATCAGTGGTGCCTTTGAGTTCGTTATGACTGTAGTTAGTTTAAGAAGTCAATCTGTTGCTGTTACTGGGCTACAAATGAAGGATAACTTCTGATACATGTACTAATTACTAGGTTCTGACCAACACTGACATAACATGTGATCTGGCAAGACGTCACATGTTTAATTTGTTTTGAAATGCAGTCTTACTCAATAATCATTATACTCCACTATCTGGTTTCACATCATCAGGTCCTAATCATAGGCTATACGCCAAGTCATTTTCGTTATAAATGTCATCAGCCTATCTGACAATGACATGTCACCATGATTACGTTTAAAATAGGTCTTACGTAAAAATAAAAGTAAAAATATTATTATCCGTTAACGAGGCAGATAATTACACCTTAGTATACACCTTACTGAGTAAAGCAATAAGAAGAAAACAAACAGTAATAATTCCTGGGAAATAAACAAGGTCCACTTCCAAGACAGGTTCAGAGGATATCGGACAGTTAGAAACTTCCCAACGAGAACATCAGCTATATTACGTCACTCACATATCCCTGCTGCGGTGGACCTCCCCAAGACATACTTGTTATCCGTCCAAACAAAGTTACACTGGCTAGATAATGACTAACACGTTCGCTTTAGTTGCAACACATAGGTCACTTGACTCTGACAAGCGCCATTACAAGGGGAACTAACTCGTTTGAAGTTGAATTTCTATACCACTAAACATGCTACATCATTCCACATAAAATTGACATATAAGAGTCAAATGGATAAAATCAATGAAACCACTAACAGTAACTCCATACACATAATATATTCAAAATACTACCTACAGAAATACGCTAATTTGAAGGATATGGACGAAAAGGGAATCTTGGATGAGTTCTCATGAAACAGAATCCAAAATGGAAAGTTTCAATAGGGATGTTAAACAGATTCTACAAAATATTCGGATAACAAAAATACAACAATATGAACTTCTCACCATTGACATTGATCATACATCACACTTGCAGAAGACGCTTTTTTTAAAATAAAAGAATAATTTAATTTTTTTGTAGAAAAGACACATGGATTACAAATGAAACATAAATAGACAAACAATAATATGAATCAAATTAAATCAGGGAGAAATCTTAAGTAAAACAGACTTTGTGCAACTTAATCAGTCTGAACTAAACTATAATAGAGAGAATGGAAAAACTAAGATCGAGGGATAGGGATGCGCGTTCGGCACAGGGAAACTAGTACCTTTTTTCTTTCTTTCACAAAACGGGCACGGGCTGGAGACGGTTATCAACGTAGAGCTTATCTACAACGATGTGAGCTCTCTTTTTGTCAGCTCTTGTAACTTTCATCAGGGGCATAAGACATTTCTCCTATAATCTGTGACTTCCCCCGGGAACTGTTCTGAGATTACATATGGTGTACCGGCCAGCATTTTACCGCATCTCTTCACTGCCGTCTCGTTCCTTTGTTAACAAGAGTTTGGCGATAATCCGCCGAGGTTTGACTTCACCCGTGTATTCATGGGTACGTCTCCTATCTATTCTAAGAACTCGCTTAAAATGTAAGTTCTCACTGTCAAATTTAAGCTGTTTTTCAATAAAGTCTCTCAGAACCTTCTCTGTGTCCTCAATTTCAAAGCGTTGATCATTTTGCCCTCGTACCGGGGATGGACTTTCAGGGATATTGGAAAAGATCAGGTTATCGCGCATCAATCGGCACTGTTGATCGATAAGGGATTCTTTCAAAGAAAGATTATGTAATTTCAGATCATCTAGAGCACTGGTCTTTTCTTAGACTAACATATAGTCTCTGAAATGGACATATCGTACAGAAAAAAACAGTTGTTCAGTTATCTTAATAAAAATCTAATAAAAAGGGAGCCCAGTGATTCTCTTCATTTTCAGCCTGATACTGCAGTAATCTAGACTTGCCAAACATTATAGACTTGCATGGGCTGTAGTTGATATAAATGTATCAGGGTCTGTAAGACAGACTAGTCTTTTCTTTAAATACAGAAATGTCATGTTTTCAATGTCAACATTCCACTCGTCGAATGTATCGCTTCTGTACTTTGTACTAGCTTCTAGACCCCTCACGTCATCTAGCAAGTTATCCAAAGCTTGAACTTTAAGTTCGACTGCATGTACATGTAGCCCACCTGTGGGTAGCCTCCGCTCACTCGTGTGGAGTTATTCACGTGTGTGTGGAGGACACCTTGCGTTGGCGTGGAGGTCATATTTGCTTGCGCAATATTTTGTTGCATGTTGCACTACTTGTATATTGGCGGAGGTTTGTGCCCCGATCCACCCCCTTTACACTGGCGTCACGCTCAGTAAGGTACAGCACTTTCCCCTCTCATCCTCTGTAACTAGCATGTGGTATCCCGAACACATTTGAGTCTTACTTGTGCTTGGAAAAGGCTACAAGTAGACACACGTGTAGGTTCAAGATGATGCTTCGTTTGTGTTATCAGTAAGTATTTACGAAGTGACAGTTAGTGGGGCTATTTCTAGGTACTGTCGCTACATCTACCAGATGGAACTACTCAGTCCAAGTGGGGTTTCCAAAGGGATTGAGTTGGAAACGTAATTTCGCTATTCTTAGACGCCAAATTCAACTAAAGATGCATCTAAATAATACATAAATACGGATTAAGTTGGGCTTTTGTTGCCGTTGCTAGGGATTGATCTGTGTTGTTGAGTGTAGTTTCAACATCTAAAGCAGTCTAAACTAAACCACAACAGACAGAATAGAAATGGGTCTAAACTAAGATCGCAACTCGATCCCTGACCGGAATAATGAAGAGCAACTTCAAAAAATGAAAAGCAGGAGTTCCTAAACGGCCTGGAACAGAATGATGCGGTTGCCATACAGGTGTATCAGTGACGTCGACAATGGAACAACGTCACTGCTCTTTGTGTTCCATACTCTGGTGACATCACAGACAAATTACGTCAACAATGAGCTGACGTCAGAGACATCAGTCAATCTGCAGTGTAGGCGACAGGCGGACTTATGGGCCGACGTGTTGCTTTAGGGAGCAACTACACGAGCAGGTAATGACGGGATAGGGGTGAGCGTTCGGCACAGGGAAACTAGTACTCTTTTCTTTCTTTCACAAAACATTACAATGATATGTTCATAATTTTCAACAAGGCCGACATGTTTATAAAGTTCCAGGTGCACACACGACAGATGCCTGTGTATAATGTTGAATGATATGCCCCCGTTGTTTTGTAAATGAAACATGTCTTGGGTAAGTTTCTGATCATGAGAAACCCATGTTCTGTTGAGAGTCGCGTTTTGGAAATGTGTTAGGTTGTGAATGTATTAACTGTACTTAGTCTGGTGTTTGTATCGTGTTGATATTTCTAGACATTCTGAATTGGCAGGGGGCGGCCGTTGAACACAGGCTAATGTGTTTTATAAGCACTGACTACCGTCCCACCTGATTGGATGGTGTATCCAAGGATGTGGTTGTGTACTGTATTCAACAGGAATTACTACTTGTATATTGGCGGAGGTTTGTGCCCCGATCCACCCCCTTTACACTGGCGTCACGCTCAGTAAGGTACAACACTTTCCCCTCTCATCCTCTGTAACTAGCATGTGGTATCCCGAACACATTTGAGTCTTACTTGTGCTTGGAAAAGGCTACAAGTAGACACACGTGTAGGTTCAAGATGATGCTTCGTTTGTGTTATCAGTAAGTATTTACGAAGTGACAGTTAGTGGGGCTATTTCTAGGTACTGTCGCTACATCTACCAGATGGAACTACTCAGTCCAAGTGGGTTTTCAAAGGGATTGAGTTGGAAACGTAATTTCGCTATTCTTAGACGCCAAATTCAACTAAAGATGCATCTAAATAATACATAAATACGGATTAAGTTGGGCTTTTGTTGCCGTTGCTAGGGATTGATCTGTGTTGTTGAGTGTAGTTTCAACATCTAAAGCAGTCTAAACTAAACCACAACAGACAGAATAGAAATGGGTCTAAACTAAGATCGCAACTCGATCCCTGACCGGAATAATGAAGAGCAACTTCAAAAAATGAAAAGCAGGAGTTCCTAAACGGCCTGGAACAGAATGATGCGGTTGCCATACAGGTGTATCAGTGACGTCGACAATGGAACAACGTCACTGCTCTTTGTGTTCCATACTCTGGTGACATCACAGACAAATTACGTCAACAATGAGCTGACGTCAGAGACAATCAGTCAATCTGCAGTGTAGGCGACCGGCGGACTTGTGGGCCGACGTATTGCTTTAGGGAGCAACTAAACGAGCAGGTAATGACGGGATAGGGGTGAGCGTTCGGCACAGGGAAACTAGTACTCTTTTCTTTCTTTCACAAAACATTACAATGATATTTTCATAATTTTCAACAAGGCCGACAATGTTTTAAAGTTCCACGTGCACACACGACAGATGCCTGTGTATAATGTTGAATGATATCCCCCCGTTGTTTTGTAAATGAAACATGTCTTGGGTAAGTTTCTGATCATGAGAAACCTATGTTCTGTTGAGAGTCGCGTTTTGGAAATATGTTAGCTTGTGAATGTATTAACTGTACTTAGTCTGGTGTTTGTATCGTGTTGATATTTCTAGACATTCTGAATTGGCAGGGGGCGGCCGTTGAACACAGGCTTATGTGTTTTATAAGCACTGACTACCGTCCCACCTGATTGGATGGTGTATCCAAGGATGTGGTTGTGTACTGTATTCAACAGGAATTACTACTTGTATGTTGGCGGAGGTTTGTGCCCCGATCCACCCCCTTTACACTGGCGTCACGCTCAGTAAGGTACAGCGCTTTGCCCTCTCATCCTTTGTAACTAGCATGTGGTATCCCGAACACATTTGAGTCTCACTTGTGCTTGGAAAAGGCTACAAGTAGACACACGTGTAGGTTCAAGATGATGCTTCGTTTGTGTTATCAGTAAGTATTTACGAAGTGACAGTTAGTGGGGCTATTTCTAGGTACTGTCGCTACATTTACCAGATGGAACTACTCAGTCCAAGTGGGGTTTCCAAAGGGATTGAGTTGGAAACGTAATTTCGCTATTCTTAGACGCCAAATTCAACTAAAGATGCATCTAAATAATACATAAATACGGATTAAGTTGGGCTTTCGTTGCCGTTGCTAGGGATTGATCTGTGTTGTTGAGTGTAGTTTCAACATCTAAAGCAGTCTAAACTAAACCACAACACACAGAATAGAAATGGGTCTAAACTAAGATCGCAACTCGATCCCTGACCGGAATAATGAAGAGCAACTTCAAAAAATGAAAAGCAGGAGTTCCTAAACGGCCTGGAACAGAATGATGCGGTTGCCATACAGGTGTATCAGTGACGTCGACAATGGAACAACGTCACTGCTCTTTGTGTTTCATACTCTGGTGACATCACAGACAAATTACGTCAACAATGAGCTGACGTCAGAGACAATCAGTCAATCTGCAGTGTAGGCGACCGGCGGACTTGTGGGCCGACGTGTTGCTTTAGGGAGCAACTAAACGAGCAGGTAATGACGGGATAGGGGTGAGCGTTCGGCACAGGGAAACTAGTACTCTTTTCTTTCTTTCACAAAACATTACAATGATATTTTCATAATTTTCAACAAGGCCGACATGTTATAAAGTTCCACGTGCACACACGACAGATGCC